TAATTAAATACAAAAAGTATCATTTAGATTTAGAAAACTGCTAATACTCTTGAGAATAAAGGAGTGATTTGTGACTGTGACTCTTTTGGGCGAGTGGGATGGCTTTTTGGTGTGTTTTTGACTTTCAATTGTATGAATCAATTGAGCTACTAAATTGAGACCATGAGTTGTTTACTTTTTTTTTTTTTTTTTTTTTTTTTTTTTTTAACTCATTTGAAAAAGGTCTTCAACTAGTATTTACTGAAAGTCATTTGATGATGCCAATTTATTTGATGAGGTGTGAGAATGGGTTTTGTGTTCCAAAATGGTGCTTGAATGTAATATTGACCATTTTTTGGAAATGAAGGAAGGAGATGCTTTCTAGTCACAAGAATTTTTTTTTTTTTTTTTTTTTGGAGTAATTTTCAAGAGTAAAGAGTAGTCTAAAGAAAATGATAACTTTTGTAAATAAAATAAAAAAAAAAAACTTTCTCAACCAAATACCCTTTAAAAAGAGAATTATGACAATTTTTACCTTCCTAAAAAAAACATTATTTTTGCACACAAAATTTGTTTTGAACTACCCATGAGATGCACCCCCCCACACTTGTAATACATTGTCTCAATGTATCATGCATGATAAACAAGTACTTTCATAACATCCACAATAAAGGTGTGTTTAGAGGAAAGTAATGTCATGAGAAAAATGAAATAGGAGCAAGGGGGAGTCACTGGTGTGGATCGGGAGGGGGGTACCCATGTTGGGAGTAGTAGTAGTTGGTGAATGTGTCGAAACGCTCCTCAAACCTTTGGTGGCGTGCTTCTTGCTCGTCCATCCGCGTGTGCATTCGAGCCATGGAATGCATCAAGTATGCCATCGCGGGATCGGTGGTGTGTGGCGGCTGTGGTGGTTCGGGTGCGGCTTCATCATCATGAGCATCTTCCATGGCCTCCTCGTTTACTTCATCATCATCTCTGTGCAAACCTATGCCGTCGGCAAAATACCATTTTCCAGAGTTGGACAGTTTATGCTTGAGGGCAATCATTGTTTCTTTGTCCAAGACATTAGATTCATTGGTATAAGCAACTTCCTCTCCATCAAAGTCAACCTGAAAGTGCCTGAAAATCTTGGTGAGTAAAAGGGGGTGACAAAAGTTTTTTGAACCTTGTTTGGAGATCACCACATTTTTCATATTTTTTAGGAGGAGTCGTGGTAGTGGTATCCCTTCTATGTCTCCTAGGCCAACTAGCATCTTTTGAAGAAGGTATAGATCAATCCTCCTAACCAAGTGGCGGTCACTAGCATGTGGGACAATGTTGAAGCCAATAAGATAGACGAGTAGGCGAGCGTGAATGTGCCATAGGTACTTGGTCTGTAGGTTTGTCTTGAGCCCGAAGAACCGCCGTGCATCCGCCTCATTGTAGGAATTGTCACTTAGAATGCCGGTTTGGTTGTATTCCAAGGTAGGGCCCGTGTTGCTAACTTCAAGGATGTTGGAGAGGAGGTCCGGGTCAACTTTGATGTGTCTCCCTTTCACCGTTGTTTGGATTTCCGCGTATCCGGTCTCTTTGTCCGAGACATTAGCGTAAAACTCCCGGACCAACCGGGGGTAATATGCTCCTGTCAATGTAAGCATCATTGCCCATCCAAAACGGGCGAAGATCTCAGTGAGCTTGAAAACAGCGTCGATGTCCGGGTGCACTGTTTTCTCCTCCACAATTTTCCACTTTTTCCGCTCCTCGTACCACTTTTCATTTTCAACCGAAGTGAAACGGTTGCCGGTGAAAGAGGAGGATGAAGCACCAGTATTTTGTTTGCGTTTAGGAGCCATCCTGCAAGGTTAGAAGAGAAAATAGACAAACAACACCATAAACCTCATCAATTCAAGGTATATTTTCCTACATTTTCATGAGTTTCCCAAAAATTCAAGTTTAATCTCAAATTATGCAATCAAGATGTTTGGAATGTTTATATATCAATACAAAGTATTTCAATATCATTCAAGTCATCAATGATAGGAATAATTTGAAATTGAGCAAGAAATTCGGACCTAGGGTTCAAAAATTAAAATTTTGCAAGAATTTCCCCCAATTCTCAACTTTAATCTCAAACTTTGGCAACAATCATGTTTACATTCATCATATGAGCACAAGTAATCAACTTTGAACAATCATAAACATATAATTTGGCCAAAGATCGAAAAAAAATAGAAGAAATTCGAAAATTTGAAAATTTGGGGGTTTTGCCTTTTTACCTTGAATTGATGGAGAAGAAGCTTGGAGATGGTGTTGTGGAGTCTTGGGAGGGATGGATTTAGACTCCTTTGACTTAGAACTCAAAGCTATGTGAGGTTTTGGGGGTTGGGTGTCGTCGGTTGCGAAGCTCGAACGAGGGGGAGTTGGGTTTTGTTTTCGCGTAAGGCAAAAAAAAAAATAAGCTGGGTGTAGCTTTAAACGACAGACCCGGCGCCGGCCATCAGGCCTACCCGGCGCCGGGTAAGCTACTGCCTCGCCCCTGCTTTGTTTTTAAGAGTCCCCGGCGCCGGCCATCAGGCCTACCCGGCGCCGGGTAAGCTACTGCCTCGCCCCCTGCTTTGTTTTTAAGAGTCCCCGGCGCCGGCCATCATGCCTACCCGGCGCCGGGTAAGCTACTGCCTCGCCCCCTGGAGTGATTTAAGAGAACCCGGCGCCGGCTGGTCAGTGGACCGGCGCCGGTTCGCACATTTTCTTTTCTCTTTTTTTTTTTTTTTTTTTTTTTTTTTTTTTGTTCTCAATTATAAATAAATATGAATGTGTTTTTGTAAATGAACATATTTATTTATAATTGAGTTTTGTTCAATTATAAGTAAAGTATGAATATTTTGTAAAACTAATCATATTTATTTATAATTGATATTATTTTTGTTGGGTTGCCTCCCAATTAGCGCTCAGTTTAACGTCGTAGGCTGGACGCAACGTACCTTTTTACTCCTCCAATGGGCAAGTGGTGGTTGCCGAGGTGATATGATACTCCATGTATGGCTTGAGTCGGTGACCATTTACAAGAAATGGTGTTTGGTCACCTTTTTGAATCATCATTGACCCGTATGGTCGGACCTCGGTGATTGTGAACGGTCCCGACCATCGGGATTTTAGCTTTCCGGGAAAAAGGCGAAGTCTAGAGTTGAAGAGTAGTACCTTTTGGCCGACGTAGAAGTCCCTCCGGTTGATGTTTTTATCATGCCAAGCTTTTGCTCTTTCCTTGTAGATGCGGGAATTCTCATATGCATCCCTTCGGAGTTCTTCAAGTTCTGCCATTTGGAACATCCTCCTTGTCTTTGAGAGTGGAGAATCAATGTTTAGCTTGGAGAGTGCCCACTGTGCTTTGTGCTCAAGTTCTACGGGAAGGTGACATGATTTTCCATAGACAAGCCGGTATGGTGACATACCCAACGGTGTTTTGTAAGCCGTCCGATATGCCCATAGCGCATCATCTAACTTTATCGCCCAGTCTTTTCTAGAAGTGGCGACTGTTTTTTCTAGAATTGATTTAATCTCTCGGTTGGACACTTCAACTTGCCCATTAGTTTGTGGATGATAGGCTGCTCCGGTTCGGAAATTGCACCCATATTTCTTTAGCAAGCCAGAAAAATGGGCATTCTTGAAATGTGTGCCATTGTCACTTATGATGGTACGGGGCACACCAAACCGTGAGAAAATGTTTTTCTTCACGAACTCCCCCACACTTTTGCTAGTGTTGTCGGGTAGAGCTATTGCCTCCACCCACTTGGAGACGTAGTCCACGGCTACAAGGATATAGCTCTTCCCATATGAGTTAGGGAAAGGTCCCATGAAATCCAATCCCCACACATCAAAGAGTTCAACCACAAGGATCATATTTTGAGGCATTTCATTCTTCCGGCTAAGATTTCCGGTTCTTTGACATCGGTCACACGCTTTCACATAACTCCTTGCGTCTTTGAATAATGTTGGCCAGAAAAGACCACATTGGAGGACTTTCGCTGCCGTCCGATCCGGACCATGGTGACCACCACAAGGAAGGTTGTGACAATGGTTTAAGACGGACATGATTTCCTCATCGGGTACGCATCTTCTAACAATTCCGTCGGCACAATGTTTGAAGAGATATGGTTCATCCCAATAGTAATGCTTTACATCACTTAGGAATTTTTTTCTTTGATGGAAAGTGAGTGATGGAGGTATAATTTCTTTTGCAAGAAAATTAACAAAATCAGTGAACCATGGTAGTTGTACCTCTTTGATTGCCATGATTTGCTCATATGGGAAATCATCTCTTATCTCCTCTTCCTTGGGGTTGGGGGTGCCTTCGAGTCGTGAAAGATGATCCGCCACAAGGTTTTCACTCCCCTTCTTGTCTCGGATTTCAAGGTCAAATTCTTGGAGTAATAAAACCCAACGAATTAACCTTGGTTTGGCATCCTTCTTGTTCATGAGGTATTTGATGGCGGAGTGATCGGTATAAACAATCACTTTTTGGCCAATGAGGTAAGATCGGAATTTGTCAAAAGCATAAATGACGGCTAGAAATTCCTTCTCGGTGGTGGCATAATTGAGCTCCGCATCATGAAGTAACCTCGATGCATAGTATATGGCATGAAGTTTCTTTTCTTTTCTTTGCCCAAGTACCACACCGATAGCATGATCACTAGCATCACACATCAATTCGAATGGAAGAGACCAATCCGGTGATGTAATGATAGGGGCCGAGGTAAGAGCTTCCTTTAAAGTGTTGAAAGCTTTGAGCCGAGTTGGAGTGATTTCAAAAGGGGCATCCTTGGCTAATAAATCGCATAGAGGTTTAGCGATTTTTGAGAAATCTTTAATGAATCGCCGATAGAAACCGGCATGCCCTAGAAAGCTTCGGATAGCTTTCACCGAATGTGGAGGGGGTAGCTTCTTTATGACTTCAATTTTTGCTTGGTCGACTTCAATGCCTTTGGGAGAAATTTTGTGCCCCAAGACAATCCCCTCGGTTACCATGAAATGGCATTTCTCCCAATTGAGAGCCAAGTCGGTTTCCTCACACCGAGTCAGCACTTTCTCAAGGGAAAGTAAGCACGAGTCAAAAGAATTCCCAAAAACAGAAAAGTCATCCATAAATACCTCCATGAAGTCTCCCACCATGTCCGCAAAAATTGCCATCACACATCTTTGGAATGTCCCGGGGGCATTGCATAACCCGAATGGCATCCTTCTATAGGCAAATGTGCCAAAAGGACATGTGAATGTTGTCTTTTCTTGGTCCTCGGGTGAGATAGCTATTTGAAAATAGCCGGAGAACCCATCCAAGAAACAAAAGAACTCATTTCCCGCAACACGCTCTAGCATCTCATCCATGAATGGAAGGGGAAAGTGGTCCTTCCTTGTGCCGGAGTTCAATTTCCGGTAGTCTATGCACATCCTCCAACCGGTGACCATTCTAGTAGGAATTAATTCATTCTTACTATTGGCTACCACCGTGATTCCACCCTTTTTTGGAACGACTTGAACGGGGCTTACAAATTTACTATCCGAAATGGGGTAAATTATGCCATAGTCAAGGAGTTTGAGAACTTCCTCCTTAACTACCTCTTTCATGTTGGGGTTTAGCCTCCTTTGATGCTCCACCGTGGGTTTGTGATTCTCCTCCATAAAAATCCGGTGCATACAAAGAGAAGGGCTAATACCCTTAATATCCGCCAAGGACCATGCAATAGATGTTTTGTGATCCTTCAATACCCGTAGTAATTTTTCTTCTTGAAGAGATGTGAGTGAAGAAGAAATTACTACCGGGAAAGTTGAGTTGTCTCCAAGAAATGCATATTTGAGGTGCTCCGGTAAAGTTTTCAAAGATGGTTTTGGTGGGACCTCAAGAGATGGTTTTAATGTGGACTTACTTGTTCCAAGATCTTCAAACTTTTGTCGGAATTGTTTGAAAGGAGCTCCGGCTTGTAAGTACATAACTTCCTCAAGAAGTTCATGACTTTCTTCTTTTTCATTGCATCCTAGCATGATGCAAGTTTCCAAGGGGTCTTCATGAATGATTTTCCCAAAACACTCCTTAGCCAAAGTGTCAAGAATGTCAATGTTAAAACAAGAGGGATCATCATGGTGCTTCTTCAAAGAATCCCAAACATGGAACTCTTGCTCTTCATCTCCAACACGGAATTTGACAATTCCGTTCTTGACATCAATAAGGGCAGCTGCAGTGGCTAAAAATGCCCTTCCAAGAATGATAGGGATCTCCATTTCCTCCATCTCCAAAATAAGAAAATCCACAGGAAAGTAGAATTTTCCAACTTTAACAAGCACATCCTCCATAACTCCAATAGGGTAGCGAATTGACCTATCCGCAAGTTGTAAGGCTATGGTGGTTGATTGAAGTCCCCCCACACCAAGCTTTTTAAATAAAGAATGGGGCATGAGGTTGATACTAGCACCAAGATCACAAAGGGATCTTACCTCTCCAATCTTGCCAATAGAACATGGCACCGTGAAGCTTCCGGGGTCCTTCAATTTAGGAGGGAGTTTGTTTTGTAGGATGGCACTACACTCCTCCGTAAGGGAAATGGTAGCAAATTCTGCTAATTTCTTTTTATTTGAGAGTATGCCCTTCAAGAATTTGGCATAAGATGGAATCTCCGCTATTGCTTCGGCAAATGGAATGTTGATGCTCAATTTAGTAAAAATATCAAGGAATTTTCTATATTGAGCACCATCATTCTTTTTCTTCAATCTTTGAGGATATGGAATGGGAGGAACATAGTTAGCCATATTGGATGGTGGCATCATATGTTCCTCATCTCCATCTTCGTTTTGCTTTTTCGGGGTCTCCTCCTCTTCCGGCATCTTCGGGTCCTCCGTCGTCTTACCACTCCTTGTGGTAATGGCCATCACGTTCTCCCTTGGGTTCATCTCCGTGGTTGTAGGAAATTTGCCTTGCTCCCTAGAACTTACTTTTTGAGCAAGTTGTCCCATTTGTACTTCAAGATTCCGAATGGATGCCTTGTTGTATTGCTCAATGGTGTCGATGCGTTGGTTGAGCTTCATATTTTGATCTTCAAATCGAAGATCCAACTTGGTGAATTGAGAGTGGAGATTCCCAATGGATGCCTCCACTCTATGATGATTTTCCTCATTTTGGGCCTTCATACTTGCCATGCTTTTGGACATGAATTGCATCATATCCTCCATGGTAGTCTCCTTGGGTTGCCCAAAATTAGGTGCTCCGGATTGGGGTTGTGAGGAACTAGTTTGTGGCTTCCACCTTTGTTGATTTGAATAGTTATTGTTCCCCCGATTCCCATAGGAGTTCATATAATTTACCTCTTCAAGTTGTTGAGATAAATCACCTTCCGGGTTCGGTATGCTCTCCACGTTGGCTATTTGTTTGACTCCTCCCAATACGGC